TTCTAGATCGGCACATATCTAGAGTGGATTACAAGGGCATGAGCCAGGGAGGCTGTACCACCAGGCTCTGTACTAAGCTGACTTCCCTGGCCAGGAAGAGAAGTAAAGGCTCACATACTTCCGGCCCTCGTTCCACCTGACAGGCTATGCTGTGATGGCTGTGTGGAGAGGCTGCAGCTCTCCGCTCACAGCCTCACCTGCTGGGATCCAGCTCCCCTCTCCACCTGGCTTGTTTCTCAATTTAGAAGCAACACTTTGGCAAGTCTTTGGAATATAGAGCCTGTCTTAGAGTGGGAATTCTCAAGCTCAGTGGGCAAAACTGCTGATATCTGGGCAGGAAGATGCTTGAGCTAACTAGTGAACTGAAAGGCAGGACCCCTGGCTCTGCCCACTCTGAGCCATCAGCTCCTTCTCTGTAGCCTGTGACAACCACAACAAGGTCTCAGGCTCTGCCGGAAGAAGGGTGGGTGAGGAGTCAAAGTGAGATGACAGGAAAAGAAAGGGCACAAGCTTCTGCCATTTTAAAAATACCAGACCCATAGGACTGGGAAGGTGGCTCAGGGGTAGAGTGCTTGCCTCGCATGCATGAGGCCCTGAGTTTGATTTCTTAGCACCACATAAGCAGAAAAAGCCGGAAGTAGTATTGTGGCTCAAGTGATAGAGTGCTAGTCTTGAGCTGAAGAGCTGAGGGACAGCGTCCAGGCCCAGAGTTCAAGCCCCATAACCAACAACAACAACAACAAAAAACAGGCAGGGGTGGTAACTACTCAGGAGGTTGAGATCTGAAGATCATGGTTCAAGGCCAGCCCTGACAAAAAAAAATCCAAGAGATTCCATCTCCAATTAACCAGCTAAAAGCCAGACTGGAGGCATGGCTCAAGTGGTAGAACACCAGCCATGTGTGAGAAAGCCAAGTAAAAAGGGAAGGCAAGCATGCAGGCATGCGCGCACAAACACACACACTCCCCCCTCACACCGCCACCACTAAAGCCAAAAGACCTGATAGAGCAGACACAGAGATCTGGATGTTGAGTTTTACATAGTATCCACCAAGATACACTAGGCTACTTTTGGTTTGGGCACTGGAAGATTCAGGAGCTACCCTAAGAATAGCCCGCCATGATTCTCTGGCTTCTAGTTTAATTATCCTCACTTCCATCAGACCTTAAAGCAGGGACCCCCCAACTCCTCGCTGTGGACAGTTGGAGCCAGGTCATTCTTGGGGTGTGGGTCTGCTCTACTCATGGTGATACTCAGCAGTGTTCCTGGCTTCCTTCTACTGCTTACTAGATGCCAGCAGCACCTGCTGAGTTGTGACCAAACATGTGCTTGGGTGCTGTCAAAGGCTGAGGAGAAAAGCCACATGGACAGCCTTAGCCAGATGAACAAGTGGGAGGGTGGGGAGCGCGCACAGTCTTGTGGAAGAGAATGGGATTCAGCCTGGGTCATTCCCCACAGCTTGGACATCACAGAGTCCATTGGCAGGACCACTGGCAGTCCTTTCCGGGACAGGCCTCGGAATTCAGAAACAGTAAATGGATCCTTACACCAGTAAGTAAGGCCAAGCTGCCCCATGTACACTTCATAGTTCCAACCACAAGCCCAAAGACAGAAGGCTCTGGTGGCTGGCCCACAAGGCTGAGCAGGTGCCTCTGGCGGAGTGCAAGCAATGTGGACCACCAGTAGGCTCTGACAGCTAGAGGTGGGGAGGGAAGGTCCTCAGACATCATTCTGAGGTGACTTCATGGTGCAGGAATTCTTCTACGATCACCGCAATCATCTGCCCTGTCAGAGAGACCTCATTGACCAGCAAGTCACATTTCTAAGGACTTCCACGGGCATGTGGGCTCCTACCTGCTGGCCAAGGCCTTGCCCACTTAATTCCATCCTGCTGGAACAATGGGGCAGTGCTGTGTTGAACAGCCTTCAAATTCCTCTGTATTAAATCTCTCTTCCTCTACGGTTTAGCTATCACCTGCCATCTAGAGATGACACCTAATCCTTTATTCTTAGACAACTATTAGTCATTGCTTTTTTTTCCTCCAGGGACAAAAGACACCAGCTATCTGTCGGTGGACATTCATTTCTCTTCTTTCTCATTGGGCCCCTTCAAACTGTGGGGAGACCCTGCTCACCAGCACAGCCCAAACAATTCCCAATGGGTTGCTCATCCTCTGTGGAGTCCATCTGCCCAAACTCCACATCCAATGCTCTTAATCTACACTGATGCACAGTCCAGCATGAATCAAGGTACTCAGGGCTTCTTGGCTTTGAAATTGTAAACACAACTGTCATCAGGCACAAGTGGCTTATGCTTGCAATCCCAGCTACTTGGGAAGCAGGCAGCAGAAGGGTTGTGGTTCCATCTCAACATATAAGTTGGACATAGTGGCATATGCAACTGTGGTCCCAGCTACGCAGGATACTTAAATAGAAGGGTAATGGCACAGGATGGCTAATGAGAGATACAGACCTTATCTGAAAAAAACAACTGAAGCAAAAAGGGCTGGGGGTGTGGCTCAAGTGATAAAGTTTCTGTAAGTATAAGGCCCTGAGTTCAAACCCCAATACCGCAAAAAACAAAAACAAAAAAACCAACTACCTGGGTGGCCAATGTCAGGAGGATCACAGTTCCAGGAGAGCCAGGGCAGAAAAATTCAAGAAACTAGTTTCTGGAAGCAATGAGTGGAGCTATGAAGGGACGCCAAATGTAGCAGATCATGGCTCAGGCACATGCCTGGGCAAATAGGGAGACCCTATCTCAAAAGTTACCAGGAAGGGGCTGGGAAGGTGGCTTAGTGGTAGAGCACTTGCCTTACATGCCTGAGGCTCTGGGTTCGATTCCTCAGCACCACATAAGCAAAAAGAAAAAAGCTGGAAGTGGCGCTGTTGCTCAAGTGGTAGAGCGCTAGCCTTGAGCTGAAGGACAGTGCCCAGGCCCAGAGTTCAGGCCCCAGGACTGGACCCCCCCCCAAAAAAAAGTTACCAGGAAAAAACAGGGTTAGAGATGTGAGCCAGCCTACTGAACCACATATATATCCAGCATTTTGCAGAGTAAACTGCAGCTTTGCCCAGATTTAAGAGAAGCAGGTCCTGGACTTTGCGAAAGTTCTCTAGACCTGTCACAGGTAAAATGCATGTAGTCTTGAATTTAGTATTCAACTTCTGGGAATTTTTCCTACAAAATCATTCTCACCTGGGTGCCAAGATGTTCACTGGCTATTCACTGTGGTGTAGCAGAAAGTTTCAGAAACAATATGAATATCTATCAAAGATATAAAGCAGGAGCTGGTGGTTCATGCCTGTAACCCTGGAGGAAGCTGAGATCTGAGAATCTATGTTTGAAACTAGCCAGGGCAGAAAAGTCTGTAAGACACTTCTCTCCAATTAACCAGCAAAAAGCTAAAATTGGATCAGTGGCTCACAAATTGTAAAGCACCAGTCTTCAGTGAAAAAGCTCAGGGACAGAGCCCAGGCCCTGAGTTCAAGTCCCAGTACACACACACACACACACACACACACACACACACACACACACACGGATTAAAAAAAACCAAGATGCAAACTAGCACCTGCCTGACAATCTATTGAGAAACTGAGGCAGTATAATCCCTTGAGCTTAGGAATTTGTGGCCACCTGTCTCAAAAATCAATCAAACAACCCAAGAAACTAGGAATTTGCTTTAGTGCAGATGGTCTAGAAGGAAGCCTGGTATGTGCCTGTCAGGAGACTACAATTAAACCCAAGAGTTCGAGGCCAGTCTGGCCAACACTACGAGACCCTGCCTCAAAACAAAACAAAATAAAAAGGGATTGGGGGGGAGGAAATTAGAGAAGGGAGGCAAATTCTGCCTTTAGGAGTGACATTACAATGATGTCTAAGGACATTTTGAGTGGTAAGACTGAAGGACACTGCTGCCATGGAGTGGGTGGAGGCCAGGGACCCAGCTACACCACCCTGTAGGGCTCAGGACGCCCACTCCAGAGAACAATCATTTCCCAGCATCAACAAAGCCCCAGCTGGAGAATTCCACCTCCAGTAGGATCTCCAAGACACATTTTATAAAACATCTAGGATCACCCAAAATACACTGTCACATTATGTGCATGGTTTTTTGAAAACGAAATAAGAATGAAAGGGCTTTTTAAGGAACTGGCTACAATCCCAAAAGCCTGAAGGTTGTGGTTGAGGGGGAAGTGGCTTCTGACTACCCTTTCAACTTGGTCCTGTGTCCAAAAAGAGAGACTTCTGCAAAGAATCACTCCAAATACAAAACTTCCTTGCCCAAGGCTGTCTGGCTTGGAGCAAAAGCCTGGGGACTTCATTGCTTCTGCATCTAGAATTTGGGGAGGGGGGAGATGCCTGGCGCCCCTGAGCCACGAGGCTCAGGCCTGTAATCCTGACAGTTATTCAGGAGGCTGAGACTCGAGGGTTGTGACTCAAAGCCAGCCTGGACAAGAACAGTCTGTGAGACCCTTATCTCCAACGAACCATCCAAAGGCCAGAAGTAGAGCTGTGGCTCAATGGTAAAGCGCCAGTCTTGGGGGCGCGCGGGGGGGGGGGGAAGCTCAGGAATAGAGAGCCCAGGCCATGAGTTCAAGCCCCAGGAGCAGCACACACACACACCAAAAAAAAAAAAAACATTTTTAAGGGGAGGGCTTCTTTTTTGTTTTTTGGATGGGGTGGCACGTTCCGGGTCGGCCTGTCGGGCATCTCTGCTCTTCCGAGGGGCTCAGCCGACCCTTCCCGAGGAGGCTGGAGCTCCCCCAGGGCCCGCCGCACCCACCCCCACTCCCATCCCCACCCCCATCCCCGTCCGTCCGCGGCCCTCCACCCCCCCACCCGCGGGGACACGCGCCAACGCGGCCACTTGGGTCCCGAGAGTCCCCTCCCGTACTGCGGTGCCCCCTCTCCCGCCACACACACACACACTCCAGGAAGCGGGGACCCCCAACGTCGGCCGGCACACCCCCCCCCAACAAACCCGGCCTGCGCTCACCTGGCTCGCCTTGTAGAACTGTTTCTTCAGCCCCGCCACCGACATGCTGCTGCCCTCCGCAGGCCCGGACCCAGCGAACCGCCCGTCCCGTGCAAACTTACAGGAAGCCGGGCGCGGCTGACCCTCTCTCGCGCCTCAACTGCTCCCCCCACCCCACCTACCCCCCGAGTCGGCACCGCCTCCGCCACTCGGCGCTCGCCACTTCCACACCCGCCCCGGCGCCGCCTCAGCCACTCGCGCGCTCGCGCGGCCAGGATATTACATGGCAACCACACACTTCCGGT